GCTGGAGACTCATCTGACTTTAACATTTTGTGTGGCAGTTCCAGTCACTTCTTTCTACTTCTTTACAAAAAACAGAGAAAGTAGAAGTTAGTATGTTGAATGTGTTGCTCACTCACATTGATTTTTAAATAACAAAAACTGTAGCCATGCATTCTAAAGGTTGCACAAAATATTTGAGTAAGGTAGAGAGACTATTCAGTTTCAAGGAAAAATATATCTACCCAGACAATCACATTTTCATATGGTATGTTGCATCCAAATAGAAGCAATGTTATAACCTTTCAACTTCAAAAGAAACCAGACCCACAGCCCATTTACCAAAGTAGAGATTTAGCAGAAAGTGCATTATATATGGACAATCAACAATTGGATTACCCTGTCAGTCATCAGTACCCTTAATCAGACGGCTCATTGGCAGTAACAGTTGAGTCACAGGGCTCCTTTTTTGCAAGCTTCTTAATATAGTTTGGATGAACCCCAAACCAGCAGTAATAGTTTGTATTAATTCACTTATAGTTTCTATCATCTAGGTGCACACATGACCCGCAAAGATCCTGCTAGCTCTCTAATTGCTGACAATTAGTGAATTTTGCAAAGTGGATGTTTAGTAATCTCACCACTAACCTCAAGCACATAAAACTTACTTCAGTTTTATTGCTGTGTAAATGGCCAAATGCAGCACTTTACAGTTTTTATATAATTCTTCTGCAAGTTCTTCAGCATGAGACATTCAGTGGCTATGGGATATACATCTATGCCAGTAAAATTAAATTTGGAACCCACAGCTGGCCTGTATTATTCTGTCTTCCAACTTGGATTTAGTTTTTGAAAGCTTAATAAACTGAACCCAAAATGATGTAAAATGCCTGTCCTTCTCTAAAAACCAGTCTTAGAATCAGGCTATGTGTTTACAAATATTTTATGGGTTCACATTAGAATGTGAAACTAGTGGCTACACCTACTAGTCAGTTAAACAGTGTGAAGGCGTTGGCCCAAGCACTGTAACTCAGTTACCTATGTGGTTGTGTTGTTAGAAAGTTCTTTGGCATTATTCTCACCTAGCACTTTCCTGGATAATTCATAGATGTGGTTTAGGAGTTACTCCAGTGTAGAAACTAGTATGTAGTTTGGATGTGGCTCTCCTCTCTGGATGGTGAGCATTTACTAGTATATATGTGGCTGGTTTATGCCAGTTGGCCTCAAAGTCAAAGAAAGGCTCTGGCACTCTTCAACCAATCAATATAAATATAGCCAGTGTATCTGTTCTATAGCAACTTTCTGCAGAATGCTTTCATTCTGTGGCAAATGTTCTGTAATTAAAGGTAGTTGTATCGCGCTCTCATTCACTCTGGGGCTGGTACTGCAGCGTGTCCAAGAGGCCGTAAATTCTCTCTAGTTTATACCTTATAAAGTCCTTAATCCATAGCAAAAAGTTCAAATCATTATGGTATGTAAAGATGAATAAAAATGAAAGGATATTGTGGTCAGAGCAGTTTGTTATCCAGCATGCACCATACCCATGTATGCTAGAGCACTGAATATGTATGCTGGCTGCTGCACTAATTGATCTTCAGCCAAAATTTCTGTATTTCTGTTTTGACCACTGTGTTTGTAGAAGTGTGCTGTGTGTATTCAGATACCATTAATTAAGGATTATCTGCAATGTAATTTGTTTTTATTCCAGTGTGCATAGTCATAAATTTCAATGATTTCAGTATCATATGCTGTATGTAGCACTGCAGCACCATCTTGTGTGAGCTGCAAATGTGGTTTCAATATATGCATTCAGCAATCTTCATGTTGACTCTAACAATTTTATTTAAAACCCTTTTATGTAAAACTGAAATGGGGAAACAAGACCATGAAATAGCTCCTCCTTATAATATGTGTGCTAGATTTCATAACAGTGCGTTCATTTAAGATACCTATTTGTTAGGATGATCCGTACAAATATGAGGCATGGGATGCTGCAATCTGGGTGCAATAAATATGCATTTTATCTGTTTTATGCTACAAAAATACAGAAGTAAAGCACAGAGATTAGAATCTTTGTGAGAAATAAAATGAAACTATAGTATGGGAAAGAGCTGCTAGGGAAAATTAAGTAGGAATTTTTATGAAATAGCTGACAGGTATAAAGCTGGAAAATGCTTTTAAGTGATAGCAGGTAGCAAATAGGGCAAGGACTCAGAAATCAATGTTGATAATCAGCTATAGTGCTTTGAGGTTTCTGCGTGTTTGGAAAGATACACATGCACAGGTGCAAAAAGTGGGACGCGTAAAACAATCTTGTTCATATGACAGAACAAACAATGATTGGAGGCATGATTGTGGTGCATCAAATGCACTACTACACTTTAATATCTTACAAGCACTTCTTTTATTCCACCTTTTCATGCTTTAATTTACATCTAGTTTCCCTTCATTTTTCTTCCCACTTTTACTTAGCCAATTTCAGTATACTCAATAGTTTATGTAAAAGGAATTACAGTCTTAATGCAAGTTCAGCCATGGAGGAGGTAACTGCTACTTCCTGCCATTGCTATGAATCCAGCATATTAAAGTGAGGTGACAGTTCTTCTATTGAATGTAATGAAAAGAAGCTCTCTCAGTCACTTTTGGGACTTTCAGTCTCTTCTTTTGTGATGTCAATGATCTAATTTTTCCAAGTATATTAACAGAGTTTGGGCACTTATAAATGTATAGTAACTCTAATTCTCCTTGAGTGGTTATCCATTTGAACATTTAGGTGATGGAAACACATATGGTTAAGAACTCAAAGTGTAAGAATTTGTAGCCTTCATTGTAACATAAAATGCACTTTTACCCATGCGTGCTGCCTGAATGCGGCACAGGGAAAACACACCCCATCTTCCTTTTTATATGTGACTGAGTCATAACTGTTTTCATGCCTTAGCACCTAAAGAGTCCTGAGCCACAGTATTTTCTTACTGTTCTTCAATTAAAACTAGGAATTAAAAGTCAAAGCGTCTTTTACTTTTGTGGGTTTTGCTATGATTTCCTCAATCAAAATATCTAGCTTCAAACCACACTTTGCATGGGAACACATTGTATCATCCTGACTGCATTAAATGCTTGAATTCTTGGAGGAGGATCATGTAATTGCTGAATACTCAGTCTGTCAGGGTTTCAAGAGTGAAAAAAGATATTTAGAAAAGCTGTATTGCTGCCTTTTTTTGGTAGGAGTAACTGGTAGAGATAAGGACCTGACAAACATGAGTATTCTCATCTGGTTTTGTTTTCATATCATAAGAAATAGTGGTGTGTGACTTTAGATCATGAATATAGATATCAGGAGAGAGAGACTGTGTGATCCAGGAAGACAGCATTTGACTTCTCTGCAACCAACACTCTCCCAGCACATGACCAAAGAATTTTGTATTAAGCCTTGATGATTGCTACAAATGCAGATCATGAAGGGAAAGAACTGGCCTACGGAATGAACATATATATTGACAGATGCTGGGAAGAAAAATTTATGCTGTTTATGTATGCACATTTGTAGTCCATTATTCTTCTCTATCTGTCCTGTTTTGGCTACAGTTTGTGTTTGGGAAGCTTGAGGGAAAAAGGTTTTTTCCGCTTTCTTTTGAAGTGATAAAAGCAACTGGAAGAGAAGTTCTGTGGGTATCAGTTGTTGACGACAGACTGCTAAAAGAAAAGTTGTATTGGTGCTTCTCTCACCATCCTTTCTAGCTCTGTACTTGCAATGTGTAGACTAAGAAGAGCTTAAGTTTCCCCTTTTGCAACACAGTTCTGGCAGCAAGCAGGTGCAGCTAATGCTAAAAGCCTTTAGTCTTGCATGCTTGAGCATTTGTGCAGCCATCATGTCCATATGAGCAATACATACTGAAATCTCTCCACCTGACTGTGTAAACGTCTTCATTATTTCCTCTTAACTAGTCTTCCATTGCACCTTCCATTTTTCACTTTTAGATGCATTCATGCGAGAGATTTAACTGTTTTCTAAATCAACATTAAACAAATGCAACTACCTTGTATAGTTCAGACAGTTGAAGGAATTGAGAGCAAACATAATTATTAGCAAATTGAAGATACTCACATAGATTGAAAGTTCAATAGTAATAAACATTGCGATATGGGCTAAAAAAAATGTCAACAGGAGTGGAGGCTGGATAATGGTATCCAAGACTTTGGGTGATTTTAGCTCTAGATCAAAAGACTCATGGCACGATTCCAACCCTGCTTACGGACTGAAATAGTTATGTAGGAGCCTGGTGGAGAGAGAATAAAAGCCATCTGTATATGTGGTCTAAAATACCATTGTGTGAGCCAGGTTTCTTCCAGTAGGTCAAACCATAATCCATTCTTTCCGCTAGCACGTTTTGTGTGTTTTGTTCAATGTGTGAGATACACTAAAATCCTAGACACTGCAAACCCTATGGAAAGAGAAGGGAAGTGCTGTGGTTATTTTGTATTTTACCATCCTATATTCTGAATATTGTTAAAAAACCCTATGGAAAGAGAAGGGAAGTGCTGTGGTTGTTTTGTATTTTACCATCCTATATTCTGAATATTGTTAAAAAATCCCTGCTTTAAGTTTTGTAATTTCTCTGAAGAAACTGTCACAGAGAATACATACCAAAACTAAAATCTGAAAGTTGTTCTGTTCAGCAATCTTTCAGGAAGTACTCACACTTTCTTCATTGCACCACTTTTGTTCGTGCTGTCTCTGTTTGACTGTATGAGGCATATAGAAAAAATTGCTGACCTTTATTTTGTGTAGAGTACCACTTTGTTTATTAAATAGACTGTGCTGGTAGGCTAGAATCCAAATTGCACTTACCTAAGAATGTAGTGGAAATGAAGTGGTTTTTTATCAGTGGTTTATATGCTCAGATAAATTATTTTGGTGTCTTTGTGATTGTTTTCTAGTGTCGTTTAAGAATATTGTGTTTAAGAACTTACTGTATGTGCAGTTTAGTAATTTCCTTTTTATTTCATTTCTTTCACTTCAGGTAACTCTTGGAGCAATCCAGTAGAAGTGACAGCCCTTTATTCATTCGAAGGACAACAGCCGGGTGATTTGACTTTCAAAGCTGGAGACAAAATCACAGTCACAACCAAAACAGATTCCCAGTTTGATTGGTGGGAAGGAAGAATAGGAGGACAAACTGGCATCTTTCCAGCCAATTATGTTGCCATAAGTAACAACTAAATTTGTATAGAAGAAAATGTTGAAGCAGTAATGTATTTAAACTGAAAAATATATTTTAACTTTTCAGATTTTATTAAAATGAGAGTCTTGATCAAGACTATTCTAACACAAAATTGAAACATATTAAATGACCTTAACTTTCCCCTAAACTTATTTCTTAAATAAATAGTAGGTGATAGTCAATTTATGATGAAGTTTTATTTTTGAGCAAGTTGCTGTATAAAAAGTACTCCAATTTGTGTCTAGTTTCAATTCTGTCTTGCTATATGGATTTATTTTTTACATGAGGGAAAAATTACAAACAATTTAAAACTAGACATGCTGAAAAAATACTGATTTCTATTAAATTATAATTTATGGTCTGTTTCTATAATAAATGCTCTCAGATTTGCTTCAAACTGTCTCTGAGTTGGAGTTCTTTACTTTTACTAAACACAGATTTTTTTTTCGCAGTATAGCAGAAGAAATTACCTTTATATTTAGTTTTTAAAATCACTTTAGGCATTGCAATTTTTCTTAGTAACTGCTTTAGTACTACTTTAGTCTGGTCCCAAATGTTTGTCCTCGTTAGCCTACAAAGACCTTTTTTTTAAACAACTGTGTAACAGTTAAGCAGTTCAGCTTCTCTGATAGCTTCTCTTACATTCCCCTCATCTTTGAAGAATTTAAGGACTTCTGAAAGTTTGTTTAATAAAATGCATGAATAGTCTCTCCCAGAAAATATATAGGCATATGAGGTCCCTTGATTCCTGTAGGAACTTGTTCCACAGATGGAAGGCAAGATAGAGAAATCTCTCCCTGGTTCACAAGTGAGCTTGCACAACTCTTCCTGCTTCTTCCCATTTAAGATTTTTTGAATGTTTAATCCTTAAGGAAAGAGCAACATAGAGTAAATTACTGAGTAAGTAGAGTAAATTATTAACAGTATGATAGGGAAGATATTTCTGTAGGATATATGTAGTAATGTATAGCACTATCATTCTCAGATTTCACCTTAATTTTGAGTATTTTTGTAAATCAACTTCATTTTACAGATGCAGATATTGACTTGAAAGTTGATGTGACAAATCAGAGCAGAGGTGAGAATGAGACTTGGAGTTTTTGAGAACCAGTTTAGTTTCCTTCTCATTGCTGGTTATGCTGAAGTTGCCTCTTACATGGAGTTAATGCCAATATGATAATGATGCTTCTTCAGTCTCGGCTTTTCCCCACTTGAAAATGTATTTTGTTAAATCCACTGTTTCTTCTAACAGTGCCGTGAGTATCAGATGGAAAATTAGTTTGTGTGATCTTTCCAGCAACCAAGTTGCAGTTGATCTGCTGTTATAATCTACTAATCTATCAGGTACTGTTTAGCTTTAAGTTATCCCGTCTGAATGGTAAGATTAAGCCTAGTTTAGAGGAAGACTTATCATCATTAGAAAATCATTCCGCTCCACTCATTGGCAAAAGTTTCCGGATCATTCTAGAAATCCGCTCCACTCATTGGCAAAAATCATTCCGCTCCACTTATTGGCAAAAGTTTCTGGATTTCTTTCAGACTGGGCCACACATTTTTGATAAACAAACTCAGTATGAGACAGAAGAGACTGAAGTTATAGTCAAATGTGTTTACTACCTTTCAGTGACAATCCTTCATATTCTTTGCCTCATAGACAAGACAGATGTATGTGATCTGTGTTCACGGATACCACCACCAAACGGATCCATACTGCTTGCAGGTATTTTTATAGAAAGTATTTTCCGACCAGTTGGAAAGAGTTACATAACCTTATGTAGCTGCAGTGGAGTGTTAATATATGCCTTCAGAAGAACGGTTGTAGCATCTGCCAATTTGAGGTGAGAAAGCAAATTCTGTGTTTGCCTATCTTTCATAGACTGCACCTGTTGCTTATTAAGCAAGGAAACACTGAATCATCTAATATCAAGACTCAGTGAACAGGATTAATAATAATATCATAGACCCAGAAGCTAGGTATGCCACATATTCACAAAGAATCACTCCTGCACTTACTATACCCTGTTGCTGCACTTTAGTTATGCAGTACAAGCTGAAGCATCCACTAGCAGAATTGGGCTGTAGTAATTCATTTGTCATTTCCAGAATGCTGGCTGCATTTTCTGCCAGTATACTTGCCTTTGTGTAGGGTTGTTAAAGCTTCTTAACTCATTCCAAGTGTCTGCTTCCATGAAACTGTCAGAATTTATGAACTTGCACAGTAAAATCTTTTTATTGTTTATGTAAGTTCAGTTTCTTGGATTGACTTAGCTTAATTCGGGAAAAATGAGGGTTGTCTAATGTAGGTGTTCATGATAGTCTGTAGACTCTGCAGGATAGTACTGATTAATTACTAAATTAATTACTGATTAATTACTAAATCCAAGCCACATTTTGAAGGGGAAATATTAAATGAGAAGTGTATCTCATACCTGCAAAATTCCCTTCTTCCTCTAAATATAATATGGGAAAGAGAAGATTCGGTGGATTAGCCTAATGCAAGAAAAGCCATTGGTTGTCAAAAACAAACCTCGAAGCACTACAGAACTCTACTGCCTGATTCTACATGCCTTTGAGATAGGCTGGATCAACCCATGTCAGTAGGCTTAGGCTAATTCCAAAAGTGGTTTAGTTATGGGCTTTACAGTAAAAGGCAGTGTTCTGTAAGGAACAGGTAGTTATGTAGCAGATTTTCTGCAGTAGGTCTAGGAACAAAAACCTAGAGATAAACAGAGGCACCCAAGAGATGCTTATGTTCTGGTAAGAGAGGTTTTCCATGAAAGAAAGTCCGTGTGTTGCTTTGCTACAGGATACCTGACCCGGATCCAGAAGAAAGAGAAGGTATTGAAGAAGATGGTGCCTCTAGCACAAAGTATTAAATGTGTTTGTAGACCAGTTAAGAGGTGCCTGGCATCTGGTTTTTAGTGGGGGGTTGGTAGGATAGATGTCTGTAGGATCAAATCAGTAGGTATCTGTACTAGAAGAGAAAAAATGGGTTATGGAGCCATGGGGTTCCCTCAAGGGGATACTTAATAAGAGGTACAGAGATTAGAGGCAAAGTACTTCTGCTGTGGTGTTGAGCAGGTTCAATTCATCATCTTGCTCATATAAGCAGCATATAAACAAACTATTTTTATTGCTCAAGCGTAGTTAATCAGGCAATAGTAATTTCTCTATATATAATACAGGTACTTTCCATATTTATTTTGTAACTATATTTTATATATGGCAGCCCAATTTCCTGTCAGTCTTCGTGGGCTTTATTTTGAGCAAGGTAATTCCCAAAGTGTAATAGTTAGGACTGTATGCTCTGTGTTCAACATCATCAGGTAGTTTAATCATAATTGATTTTAACATTAAATGTTTCACCATCCTAAATAGTCAAAGAAGAATTATTTCTTGAAGGAAATCTTATGGATTACCATATTATAGGCTTCAAATTTTGAATTCCATGGTGTCCAGAAATATTTTTTTTCTGTTGCACCTCTAAGCATTTTTCTCTGGATGTGATTACCGATGGGTCTGGACTGGCAGATCAGTTTTGCAAGGTGCGCTACAAAGAATCTTCCTTCTGACATGTCTAGCTGGTGTGTTTTCACTGACACGTACACATATTGATGGCAAGTTTGCAAGAAAGTTTTTACCCATTTTATAAAATATCAGATGATTTGTCTGCTGGGAGCATTTGAATGCATCTTCCCTGCTGTCTGTGGCCTAAGTCCCCCTTTCGGGGACTGAAATGCTTGTTGTGAATCATAGAATCATAGAATCATTAA